CATCTTAGATGGCTTTTCACAACCTTTTAAGACTCCAATCACTACTCACCAAAGTAGAATGTAGAACAGTGATTTTGTGTACTATGTTATGCCATTTGAACTTGATATTCCCTGAGACCATGGTTTTGAGTCTGCAGGCCCAGTGATTCATTACCTCAAGGTGTTTTGTTTTATTTAAAGTTATCATAACTTTGCCCTCTGTTTGCTCTAGTATATGTATGGGCATTTTTATAGTGCATGCACATATCTTCTGCCAAACTATATGGTCATGAGTATATTCCCATTCACCATCCCATTCCTAATCATCTTGCCTATTTACTTATGTATCCACCCACAGATTAATGTTTATTATTAAAATGATATTCTATCAATTCTAAAAATATTACTGATTTTATATTTAATTTCTAATGCAAAAATTAAAATACCAAATTAAGCATATGATTTCTGATTCCTCATCCAAAACTCCACTCATATGACTCTCTCAGAGCCTGTCCACCACTCACAAGTCAGTTTGCCACTGTGGTGGCTTGCATGTTGCAGTGAGGCTGGGGCTATGCCATTAGTATTTCAAATACCAGTAAGGTCACACAAGGTGAACACATTTCAGCAGAGCTCCCAGACTAAGAAACATTCACAATAAGGAAGGGGTCATCCACTTTTCAAAGTATTGGCCACTGAAAACCTTATGAATAGCAGTGAAACACTGTGTTACATATTACTGGAAAATTTTATGAATAGTCCTGAAACACTGTCTGATATAGTGCCAAAAGATGAGGACCTCAGGTTGGGAGGCATTTGAAATGGGACTGCGGAAGAGCTGCCTCCTCAAAGTAGAGTCAACCTCAATGATTGGGATGGAGTAAAGCATGTGGGACCTCCATTTGCTAATGGGACATGAGGCAAAATGGGCTGAAACAGCTACAAACATTCATTAATAATTTGAACATGGAATGTACGAAGTATGAATATAGGAAGTTGTCAGAAATGGAAGGGAATGCATAAAGAGCAATATCCTAGGTATTAGTGAGCTGAAATGGACTGGTTTTGACCATTTTGAATCAGACAACTATATGATGTACTATACAAAAAAAAAAATCACTGCCATCAAGTTGATTCCAACTCATAGACCCCCTTTGGGTTTCCAAGGTGGTAAATCTTTATGGAAGTAGATTGCCAAGTCTTCATTCTGCAGAGTGGCTGGTGGGTTTGAACTGCCAACCTTCTTTCTGGCTAGCAGTCAAATGCCTTAAGCATCATGCAGGGAATTTCGTGGCATTCATCATTTCAAAGACTGCTTCAAGATCTACCCCGAAGTACAATACTGTTAGTGATAGGATAATACCCATATGCCTACAAGGAAGACCAGTTAATTCTATCATTATTCAAATTTATGCATCAATCACCAAAGGCACAGATGAAGAAACTGAAAAATTTTACCAACTTCTGCAGCCTGATATTGACCAAACATACAGTCAAAATGCTTTGATTATTACTGGTGATTGGAATAGGCCTTGATGATAGAAATTACATTGGAAATTGCATGATAGAATTTTGCAAGACCAACAACTAACTCATTACAAATAGCTTTTTTCAACAACATAAATGGTCGTTATACATCTGGACCTTGTCAGATGGAATACACAGGAATCATATTGACTACATCTGTGGGAAAAGGCAATGGAGAAGCTCATATCTTCAGCCAAAACAAGTCCAGAAGCTGACTGTGGAACAGACCATCAACTGGTCATAAGCAAGTTCAAATTGAAGCTGAAGACAATCAAAACAAGTTCATAAGAGCCAAAATATGACCTTGCTTATATCCCACCTGAATTTAGAGACCATCTGAAGAACAGATTTGATGCATTAAATACCATTGACCAAAAACCAGATGAATTGTGGGATGACATCAAGAACATCCTACGTGAAGAAAGCAAAAAGTGACTGAAAAGACAGGAAAGGAAGAAAAGACCAAAATGGATTCAGAAGAAACTCTGAAACTTGATCTAAAACAAAGAGCAGATAAAGGAAGAAATTATAAAAGAACTGAACAGATTTTAAAGAGTAGTTAGGGAAGACAAAATGAATTATTATAATGAAATATCCAAAAACCTGGAGTTACTAAACCAAAAGAGAAGAAAATTCCCAGTATCTCTCAAGCTGAAAGAACTCAAGAATACATTCAAGCCTTGAGTTGCCATATGGAAAGATTTTATGGGCAAAATATCGAATGACAATGGAAACATCGGAAGAATGGAAGGAATACACAGAGTCACTGTACCAAAAAGAATTGGTCAATGCTCATCTATTTCAGGAGGTGGCATATGATCAAGAACAAAAGGAAGAAGCCAAAGCTGCACTGACAGAATTGGCAAAAAACAAGGCTCCAGGAACTGACAGAATACCCATGGAGATGTTTCAACAAAAAGATACTGCACTAGGAAGAAATTACAAAAGTGCACTAGAGGCGCTTACTCTTCTATGGAACAAAATTTGGAAGACAGCTACTTGGCCAACTGACAGGAAGAGTTCTATATTTGTGCCATCCAAAGAAAAGTGATCCACAGAATGTTCAAATCACTGCACAAGACCATTAATATCACACCCAAGTAAAATCTTCCTGAAGATTACACAAAAATGTTTGCAGCAGTTAATTGACAGGACCCTCTAGAAATGCAGGCTGGATTCAGAAGAGGATTTGGAATGAGAGATATCATTGCTGATGTCAGATGGATCTTGGCTGAAAGCAAAGAATTCCAGAAAGAAGTTTATTGTGTTTTATTGACTATGCAAAAGCCATTTGACTGTGTGTATCATAACAAATTATGGATAACACTGAAAAGAATGGGAATTCCAGAACACTTAATTGTGCTCATAAGGAACCTGTATGTAGACCAGGAGGCTGTCATTTGATATCACAAGGGATACTGCATGGTGTAAAATCAGGAAGGGAGTGCATCAATGTTGAATCTTTTCCCCATATTTATTCAATCTGTATGCTGGGCAAATCATCCTAGAAGCTGAATTATATGAAGAAGACAGCATCAGGATTAGAGGAAGACATATTAACAACTTGCAATATGCATACAATTTAACCTTGCTTCTTGAAAGCGAAGATTACTTGAACACTTACCGATGAAGATTAAAGACTACAGTCTACAGTATGGATTACACCTCAATATAAAGAAAACAAAAATCCTCACAACTGCACCAATAAGTAGTATCACAATAAAAGAAGAAAATATTGAAGTTGTCAATGATTTCATATTACTTGGTTCTACGATCAACACCAATAGAAGCAGCAGTCAAGAAATCAGAGGACATATTGCACTGGAACAATCTGCTGCAAAAGCCCTCTTTAAATTGCTGAAGAGCAAAAGATGTTTCTTTGAAGACTAAGGTGTGCTTAACCCAAGCCACGGTATTTTCAGTAGCCTCATATGCATGTGAAAGCTGGACAATGAACAAGTCAAACAGAAAAAGAGTTGATGCTTCTGAGTTGTGATGTTGGCCAAGAATACTGAAAGTACCATAGACTGCCAGAAGAGCTAAAAAATCTGTCCTGGAAGAAGGGTAGCCAGAATGATCCTTGGAAGTGAGAATAGCCAGACTTCTCACCTACTTTAGTCACATTGTCAGAAGGGACCATTCCCTGGAGAAGGATATCATGCTTGGTAAAGTGGAGGGTCAGCAAAAAGGTGGAAGGCCTTCACTGAGATGGACTGACACAGAGGCTGCAACAATGGGCTCAGGTATAGCAAGGACTGTGAGGCTGGCACCGCATTAGGCAGTGTTCCGTTCTGTTGTACATGGGGTGGCTATGAGGTGGACCTACCTTGACAGCACCTAACAGCTCTGTAATGTATTAAATTTTATTGTCTAAATATCAAACAAATATCTTGGTTTCTGACAACTATATACAAACACCTTAGTCCATTTATTAGGCTTGTAATTTCTTACAAACTTGTCAATTTAGAACCAAATTTAGAAATTTGGATATAGCCTGAGGATAGAGAATCTGTGGATAGATTTTAAGGACATCTGTGGTAGCTTAAAATAATATACAGTGAAAAAATTGTGTCCAGTGTAGGCTGAGATAAAATTAAAAAGAAAATGTCAGTTTTAACACATTAAAATATATACATGCAATAATTTTCTTAAACCTCTTTTGAACTTATCTCCAATAATCCAAAGCATTTTAATTTAGTTTAATCATATTCCAAAAGATGAGTATCATTTTTAAATTTTCAAGTGTCAATTCTTGCTATTTGAGTCTAAGACATTGATGGCATCTGCTGGATTTTAGTTTTATGTGGAAAATTATTAAATACTACACAAATGTGTATAGTGATACTGCTTTGGAAACCCAAGGAGGGGTCTCTATGAGTCAGGTCTGACTCCACGGCACATAACAACAACAACAACACATGTGTGTGTATATTCATACTTAATTTAATGTAAATTGATCAGCTGTCTACTATACTTAAATAATTCATTTTCATGAATAATGTTATTTTTCAGAACTAATTTGTAATACAAAGCTATATTAGGAAATATAAAGAAAATGGTATTTCTTTCACTTTTTTTTAACTTGATGTAAAGTCTTCATTTCCATTTTTCAGTGACACTGACAAAGCTCTAACTTGATACTTCAGATTTAGAGACCATGTTTTTACAGTAATGGTACTTCTTAACTAAGTTGTTAATCAATCTTCATCCTCCTCTTAATCATTTAGTGTGAATATGTGTATCTGTGAGTGTGTAGGTGTGTGTTACAAGCCTTCCACTTACTGATAATTGAGTTCTGGATAATTTTTACAGATAGCTTAAAGCACAGACTTGGCCCACATTAAATAGGCCTCTCTCCCTGTGCTATGCTTCCTGTATGTATTGTAAAGATCACTGGACTCATGCACATTCTAAGAGTATTTTTTTTTCAGCTATAACATCACCTCAGCTAACCCTTTATCCATATTTGTTCAACACACAGCAGGATGACTTACATGGTAAAGACGTCCAGTGTATCTCCAGCAGTTCTTGCCATCTCAAAGTAGGTTTGTAGGATGGTGACAGATCCAGAAAGTGCTTCATGACCACAGCCACAGAACAGGGCCACTCCAGCATAGAGCAGGATGGTAGCAATCAGAGAGGCATAGGGAATGCCTCCCAGGCATTTAATACAGCACTCAAAACACCCTGCAAAGAGCAACATCAAAATGGTTAGAAATTATATTATTTTGTTAATCTAATATTAAAATATTTTTTTAAACTTCAGCATTATAGAAAAATATTTGCATTTAAAGATAACATCCAGTTGTTGTTGTTGTTGTTATGTGCCGTCGAGTTGGCCCCCACTCATAGCGACTCCTCCTTGGGTTTCCGAGGCAGTATCACTACGGAAATAGATTGCCCCATCTTCCTTCCAAGGAGTGGCTAGTGGGTTTGACCCTCCAGCCTTCTGCTTAGCAGTCAAGTGCCTTAGGCACTACACTACCAGAGCTCCAGTGGACCACGTTAATCAAGCCCTAAGGTGCCCTGTGGGTATAAAAATCAAGTACCTCAAATGTGAAACCATCTACCTTAGCAGATAGAAGAATGCTTATTGTCACCAATGGTTTCCTCTATTACCCTAAGCCACACAAAAATAATTTCTTCCAACCCAGACTTTCTGTAATAATTTTCATGATATATGTATACAGATAGGGAGCTCTGGTAGCATAGTGCCTAAGGCACTTGGCTGCTAACCAGAATGCAGGCGCTTCAAACCCACCAGACACTCCTTGGAAGGAAGGTTGGACAATCTACTTCCGTAGTACTACTGCCTCAGAAACCCAAGGAGGGGTTGCTATGAGTCGGGTCCGACTGGAAGGCACATAACAACAACAACATTTATACAGGTAGTTCTACATTTAATTTGTTACCTATCTCAAATTTCACATGATTAAGTTTATTTTCAATAAAAATTGTATGTCCCATGAGTACAATGTTATCTAATCTTGTGCATTCTTGGAACTGTATTTTTCAAACAGTTGGCTGAAATCTATTAGTTAGTTGTGAAACCAACTTAGTGAACTTTAGCTAACAATTTTTAAATATGAAAGAAAATGGAATAAACAATGTCTGAATGCTTCCCTTTCAGTAAAGGAAATTATCTTTTTTTTTTTTCTTCAGATATGTATATATGTATATATGTTGTTTGCATAGTGAGCAGTCATGAAAAAATTCTTGCTGAATTTTCTGTAAAAGAGATGGTAGAATAGTAGAAAAGGGAAGGCAAGAATGGTCAGAATTTTGACTCTACCATTCTAAGTTCTTTGACATATACTTATTTTCTCATGTGTGAAAAGGTAGCAATAAAAGAACTTCTTTCAAGAGAATTGCAGGATAGAATGGACTGTTCTAAACTCAGGGAGAAAATTATAAATCACAGGGTAACCTCAAAGAAAACTGATAAACTTTAGCATCACAATAAAAAGAGGACAAGCACAAATATTTAGCAGATACTAAAACAGTAGCAATGAAGGAAGTAATAACATGATTCATAAACAAAATGAGCTCAGAATTGTATGGAACAAAGAAATCAGCAACACCCCAAAAAACACATAACAAACTGACAGCAACAAATTCATACTTGTCAATAATTATACTGAATGAAAATGGATTAAATGCACCACTCAAGAGACAGAGAGTTGCAGGCTGGATAAGAAAACATGATTCATTAATATGCTGTTTACAAGAAACTTACCTTAGACACAAAGACAAAAATAGACTAAAATCAAAGGTTGGAAAAAGATATCTCAAGCAAATGGCAACAGTAAGAGAGCAGGAGTGGCAATACTAATTTCTGATCAAATTGACTTTAAGACAAAAACCACCATATAAGACAAGGAAGGACATTATATAATGATTAAAGGATCAATTGAACATGAAGATATAAGCATAATAAATATCTATGCACCCAATGAAAGAGCCCCAAAATACATAAATCAGACTTTAACAGAATTGAAAAGACAAATAGATGACTCCACAGTCATAGTAGGAGACTTTGATATACCACTTTCAATCAAAGATAAAATAACTGGAAAGAAACTCAACAAAGATGCAGAAAACTAAATATACTCAACCAACTTGACCTTACAGATATCTACAGAGCACTTCACTCAACAACAGCACATTATACATTCTTTTCTAGTGCACGTGGAACATTCTCCATGATAGACCATATGTTAGGTGACAAAGCAAGCCTTAATAAATTTATAAACATTGAAATGCTGCAAAGCATATTCTCAGGTCACAAAGCTATAAATTTAGAAATCAACAATAGGAAGATCAACAGATAAAGAGCAAACATATGGAAACTGAACAACACCCTCCTCAAGAAAGACTGGGTAAAAGAAATGAAAAATGAAATTAAAAAAATCCTTGACTCAAGCAAAAATGAAAACACAATATACCAAAATCTTTGGGACACAGAGTAAG